CAGACAGGCAATGGCTGGAAGACTCCGCTGCCTCCTCCAGGGAAGGTCTGGTGCCCAAGGTGGCCTCTCTGAGCCCCTTGCAGGGGCCCAGGAAAACACACGCAGCCACAGAGTCATTTTGGACAGCCTAGCAACCTCCCACCCAAGGGAAATTTGAGAATTTTTTCACTCCTCATATATCTGGGAAGGAGTAAAGATAAAGGACCCCCTGTAGATTTTACTCCACTAGTTGTTGCTGACTATAAGGAGGAGTACTCATCTCCGCTTCAAGGCCACTGAGCCAACGCTGTCTGAAGGCATTTCGGTGGTCACCTGGGCAGCTGGTACCTTTCCACCAAAGTGGTACTTATTCACCTACTTGCCTTGGCATGCTTCCAAACTGCTAGGGTGGCAGGAGCTTGGGCGAGGAGGGGAGCTCACCCCATCGACCCTGGGCTGCCGGCTTTCCAGCTGACAAGCCCAGCCTCTTAACTGTCGGGCCACTTCACAGCCAGATCTGGAAAGTATCAGCTTAGAAAAAGCTGCTCTGGGTTAGGATGTCCCTTGCTGGGACTGCAGCTCCCACTAGGAATTCTAGGGGTTTCAATCGTAAACCCACCCTGTTGATGGTGATGTTATAGGTAGAGAAGCCCTATTATGAGGAGAGGCTTCTTGGACAGCAAAGGTGACCAACAAGCAAGTGCTGGAGCGCCTAACACCAGACACGTCACTGGAAGGCAAAATCACAAAACTGTGTCTCATTTATTTTGGTCATGTCACGCGGGGGAATTCACTGGAGAAAGCAATTATGTTCGCAAGAGAGAGCGGTCAAAGGAAACCAAAGGCTGCCAAAGAACACGGTGGCTGGACACCAAGAAGGCTGGCACCGGCCAGAGCGTAGAAGAACGCAAAGAAGCTGGGCAAGATCGGAAGAGATGTGGAGAGACCTGGTCCGTAGAATCGCCAAGAGTCAGACATGACTGAATGGAGAACATCATCATCATCATCATCATGGTGAGGGTGGGGCTTAAAGCGAAGGGCTGCCTTGAGTGCAGCTCAGCTCCTGAAGGACCATAGAACGTGACTCGTTTTCTCAGCAATAACCTGGGAGTGTTGAGCCCTTGTGTTCCAAGATACTTTGGTCCTTCCAGTCTGGTTTACAGCCTTGGTGTTTTGTCTCTCATCCAAGAACTAACCAGGTTCCACCCTGCTTAGCAATTTGAGAAAAGCAATAATGAACTTAACGGTGCCATCTGTGGTGAGAAGTAAGCCCTGTCTACTGTTACTGCAGGAGTTCCCAAACAAGGGTTTGTGAGCAAATCTAAGACAGTTTGCAATGAGTTGGTGGAGAGAACTGGGTGGGCAGAAAGCAAGAGTGTGGCCAAATTCACTTCTCCTCTCTTCCTGTTAAGTGAAACAGTCGTTAAGTGAGTTTTGCCTCATTTTACCACCTTTCTTGCCCTCATTAAGCGAACCCCTGCAGTTGATAAATTTGCAACCTGGTAGTCAATTGCTTCCTCATTGACTTTCCTTTTCAGGTCACAAAAGGGGATCACGTGATCTTGGGACACGGCAACGGTCATAAATATGAATTTTGATCCCAGGCTGCAAAGGTTACAACTGTGAAAACCAGTCATAAGTCACGTTTTTTCAGTGCCATTGTAACTTTGAACGGTCACTGTTGTAACTCGAGGACTCTCTGTGCTTTATTCCAACAAGAATGTGGAAGGAGAAAGGAACTATTTCAACTGAAACCCATACAGGAATTTTGCAAAACTAATTCCTGAGCCAGCCATGCTGAGGGGAAAGGAGGTTTCCAAGCTGAGCCATGCTAACTCAGGAATTCTGGGAGTTGAAGTCCACGAGTCATGAAGGGGCCAAAGTTGCCTTCCCTGACCTAGGTGGTTAATTTCTTATAGTTTTTCCAGGAAAAGAAGCGATTGTCCCGTAATACCAAAATGGCAGGATCCCCCCTTAGTGGTGACCCTAGCATTACTCCTGAGAAAGCCATCACCTGGAAGGAGTTTTAAAGGAGTTGTGTGAAGCCAAACCACTGGAGAAAGGATTGTACCAAGAGAGGAAAATATTTGTAGCTCAGGGTTGAATTGAAAATCCTTGGGGCTCTCCAAGCTTGGTGATTTTCTTACCTAGTTTGGGAAACGAAACGTCTGCAAGAAAACCACCAAACTCAGAGGGCACCAAGGACTCTTTAGAAAGGCTTCTGTAATGAAGATGGGCAGGAAGACAGGATCTCCACGTACACACTCCTTGGTCTACCCAAATTCTCCTAGCTTTGAAATACCTTTAGAAAAATAAATCCCCCCAGATCAAACGGAGAAGCGATGGAGTAATTGCAGTAGACCTGGTGCTAGTTTTCATTCACAGGTCAAGAGGCACCAAGGTGACAGACACCGGAGCAGCTAAGGAGCTGCTTATTCTGAAAGAATGATCTCTTTTATCAAAGCTGGGCAAAGTTCAGGGTTGTACACAAACATAAGAGAATGGGCTGCTCCCTAGAAGGATCGTTGCCCGTTGCTCTTTCCCTTCCAGGAAGTTGAGAACGTTGGGAACCCACGCCTGTCCAAGGTGGGGCCTTCGTTCTCCCGGCGTTCCCACAGGCCAAAGCTGTTCTCAGGGGCTGCAGCCGAAGGAGTCGGAGGAAAAACCTTCCCTCGCATGGCTCGAAAGAGGACAACTTCTGACACAGAATCTCGGGTGGCAGCTTTGTGGAATGTGGGAACGGGTGAAGCGCTGGTTTTGGATCTAGGAAGGCCGTTCCAAGCCGAACAAAGTCCTCCTTGGGAAATGCGAGATGCAGGCGAATTCTTCCAATCGGTCCGATGCCGCTGAAAAGAAGCAAGGGCTGAGCAAGTCAAGGCGGTAAGTCCTTTCTTCGCCATGAATGTCTTAAGGCAGACTCTTCCAGCTGGGTCCTTGCTAAAGTTTGAGAGCAACTCTCAAGGCCTCTGGTGAAGATGGCTTAGGTTATCATGCCGGCTTGGCAGCAAGGGGAGTTGCGGTCCAATATATTTAAAGAGAACGTTTCATAGGAGTATTTTCACACACAGTAGCAAATCTGGGCATACGTTATTAACAGAGAGGTGTGTGTGTTAAAGAGAGATTATCCACATCTGTTAAGTTGTACAAAGGATACAGCTGCTTTAACAATTCAAAGGTGGGTGTTCCTGCGCATTGCTTTTGAGGGCTTTCACAGACTGTATGTGTGTATATACACACACACACACACATCCTCCCCAAGACACCCATTACCTAGTTATTTGTAGATAATATATCTGGTTTCATGTTTCAAGGATGAACTTGTTTCTAATTTGAGCGGAGATGGTCGTGCAAGGCTAATGAGATTGCCATCTAGGGGACTGGAGCACCTCCTTGTATACACAACATCCGAGTTTCAGAGACAGGAATTCCAGCTTGAGGTCCAATGCGAAGGGCCTCCTTCTGAAATCCTAAAACCCAGGTTTGCTCCAGTCAATCTAGGGTGACTGCTTTGGTCCTCAAGGACTGAGAAAGAGCCAAGGTTCTTCCAGAGCTTGCAAGTCCCACACAACTGCACAGCTAGAGGGAGAGATTGGTTCATTCCTCACACACACACAAATGACTTTCAGAAAGTGTTGGTGCTTCAATTTCATCCAGCCCAGGAACCGAGATGGGCTAGAAATATTGGCTGGGGAGAAGGCTGTTCAGAATCTGAATGAAGACGATGCCTCCTTGGTCTTTGGGTGTATAGTTTCCACCCAGATCCATGGCAGAAGCAATAGTTATGTTGAAGGAGCAATGCAAGGGACCCAAGCACAAGAGAACAAAAATGCCAGGGCTTGGGAGAAAAGCAAGGGGATGGGTGGCATCCCTGAAATGACAGAAATGCTTCTGAAACAGACTTTTAAAATGGCCGCGTCGTCAGGTATCGCGGTCAGGGCCACTGACTTCAGCAACTGAAACTGTCTGCCTGGCTCAGCAAATGCTAAATGTTGCCTTTCTTTACAGCTGAAACTGTAAAGGGATTACTTGGGAGATCTGGAAGCTGGAAGGGATGGCGGGGGATTTATGCCTGGGTAATTCAGCCCAGAGGTATTTGCAGAATCTGTTGGTGGGCAGGCCAAGTTTCCAAACTGCCAAGTTCTTTATGGGTCAAATCGGTTTCCCAGAGTTACACACCAAATTTATCAATTTATCCCTTCCAGATTCCATTCAATTCCAATTCCAATTCTATTCTATTCTATTTAATTCTATTCTATTCCATATTTTCTATTCTATTCTATTCTATTCTATTCTATTCTATTCTATTCTATTCTATTCTATTCTATTCTATTCTATTCTATTCTATTCTAATTCTTATTTTCCTGACCTTGTTTTTCAGGCCACCCTTGTACCCAGCCCTTTCCTTCAATGATGCCATGCAAAAGGAGTAACGCAGGGCAGCCAAGAGGGGTGGCTCGAACTCAGACTTATTGCTAAGAGAGCCTCTTCCCCCATCAGCACCCAGAGTGAAAATGCAGCCCAGGCCAAGAGATCCAGACTCAACGCCAGGCTGCCTCCTTCAACATTATTTAATATAAAATGCAGAGGGGGACCCATGCAGCCGCTGCCTTCAGCTTTCCGCTTTTCTTGAGAGGGGGGACGGGAGCGAGGGCGGAAGGAGCAAGGAGGTGCTGGCCGGCCTTCCTCCGAAGCACTTCCTACCGGACGTGGTGGGAGGATCTCTGGGTGGCAGCCCCCGTGGCACTCCGCTGGGGACACAGGTGGACTTCCGCCGACTCCTGCCAAAGATGACCAGCGCTGCATTGGCCAAAGTTCCTCGGTTGCTGCTGCTGCTGGGTCTGAGCTGGAGAAATTACGACAAGGTCTCTTTTCCTTTGGACACAAGGGAGCAGCACCGTGGGGAGTGGGCGGGGAGGGGGGGAGAGTTTGAAAAATGGATGCTGCTGCAGGTCATCTAGGAGTCCCAAGACCAGGAATTGTTCTTAGGCAGTCAGTGCTGTAACAGATCCCCCCCTATTCCCCCCCCTCCCAATCTCTGGGAGCTCAGGAGCGACTTCGGTCCTCGTGATTGCCCACGATCATCTTGCTGTAGAGCTTCTGCTGCTCTTCTTTGAAGGTGTCCTTCACCTTTTCCCTCTTTAGGCCCCCGTCCCTGTGGGAAAAGAAGGACACCTGTCAGAGCAGGACTGCGACTCGGGACCTGAGCGGGAGGGCGGCTAGGGAACCGGCGTTTGGGGAGCACAAAGAACAGGATTCCCCAAGTGGCCCTGCAGGAAGTAGGGTTCGGGTTTGTGCTGTTCCCCCAAGATGCAGAGAAGCTCCCTCGGGGACTTGATTACGCCCTCTCCACCTAGACCAGTGGTTCTCAACTTTTTAATGCCGTGACCCCAACCGGTCGTAAGTCGAGGACTAAACCGGTCGTAAGTCGAGGACTAAACCGGTCATAAGTCGAGGGCTAAACCGGTCGTACGTCGAGGACTACCCAACCGGTCGTAAGTCGAGGACTTTCCCTGCCCGGGAGCGCCGCGCATGCGTGGTTCCGCCCCCTGCGCCGGCCGAGGCGTAGCTGGCAAGCGGCAGAGACGGAGCAGGCCGACCACCAGCTGGCCCAGCCCAAGGGAGGTAAGGCACCCGCCGGAAAAGGTGGAAAAAAATGGCGGACAGCCTTGCTTGGCGACCCCCATGAAATGGTCGATCGACCCCAAATGGGGTCCCGACCCACAGGTTGAGAACCACTGACCTAGACCCCCTGCGGGAAGAGGGTTACCTGTACTTTCCAAGCACAAAATATCAGGTGAGCAGGGCAAGACTAGGCCACGGGTGAGATTCACACAGATACACTTATCTCCTTCCCTTTGCGCCCTCCACCAATTAATCAATCAATCAGCAACAACATGGACTGGCTTACCACAAGAGGTCCACCAGGCCTCCCTGCCTGGCAATGGCAGATTTCACCCGGTTGGCAAACTGCACTGCATCTTCAGCAGGCTGAAAGGAAGAACGGCCAAGAGGGTCAGCCTGCTTTCAGAAAGAGTCCTGGGAAAGTCTCCGCCGATTTTCCCGGCATCCAGAGGCCCGGATCAAGTTAACTCACCTCTCTGGTCATTGGGGGCAGGTACCAGACGCTGCAGACAATTGCCCAGCTAGTCATCATCCTGAGCAGATAGTTCACCATGCCGTATTTGCTGCTGTTAAAAAAGGCATCTCCAAATTGGGGGTCATACTGAAGACAAAAAAAAAAAAAGGGGGTGGGATGGGATGGGGTGGGTGGGAGAAAGGCAAGATGGCGAGAAGATCCACTCAGAGCACAAGAACAAGTGCCCCAAATACAGCATGACAGCACACGATTATGGGATTACAGGAGGGCATTCCAGAAGCTGCCTTGAGAAACTGTCGGGTCCCACCGACTTTCAGATATCCCTGCCACACCCGGAAAGCAGAGCCCCACCTACCTGTCCAGGTTCCCCTCTTACCTATGTCTCATACCTTCAAGTTTCATTGTGTTTGCTAAGCAGCAAGAGTGCTCACCTTGATAGCGACAGGATAAACTATAGCATCAATCTCAAAACTCCCTTTCTTAAACATCATCACGGAAGTGTTGTTGATACAGGTGCCTGTTAAAAGAAATGAAAGAATATCTCCTGTGAGACTTAATTAGGGACCAGCCAGACCTCAAAATGAGAAGCCCCTGGATTGCTGTCCCAATCCATCTAATTGACACGAATCTGATTCAGAGTGGCACACAGAAGCACGCCCATAGGTTTGTTTGAAAACAGAACAAACACTTTAATTTACACTGCTCACTCCAAATAGTTACTGTCAGTTCAGAACAGAAAAATGGGAGTGGTTATCCTCTTTTGTCCCCTTTTTTAGTTATTATTTTTATGAAATGTTTTATGAAGAAATGCAAGTGGAGCAAAAGAAAACAAAATAAAGAGAGAAAAAGCAAAACTGAAAATATAAGTAAAATTGAATAAAAAAAATTTTTCAGGACGTTAATTTTATGTAATTAAATATCTTGGGCCACTTTAAATTACAGATCTGTTGAAATCAAGTCAATGTGGAAAAATAACATGATATAACCAAATCCAAGTAAAAAAAATACAATAATTTCTAGCTAGAAGAGTCTATCCCCAGGGGTAGGCAACCTTGGCTCTTTTATGACTCGTGGACTTCAACTCCCAGAATTCCTGAGCCAGCAGGAATAGCGGTGAGGACCTAATTTCCACCATGATCATGTTCCTCCAGCCCAAGCAGCAACGTTCAGTTTAGGAAAAGGAAGCTCAGAGCTATGTCTGTCTCTACTTTTTGGCTGGCTCTATGGTTTAAAATGCCAACTTTCCATTTCATTCATTTTAAGCACAGCAATGTATGGCTGTGAAAGTTGGACCGTAAGAAAGGCTGAGCGCCAAAGAATGGAGGCCTTTGAACTACGGTGCTGGAGAAGACTCCTGCGAGTCCCCTGGACTGCAAGGCCATCAAACCGGTCAGTCCTGGAGGAGATCAACCCCGACTGCTCTTTAGAAGGCCAGATCCTGAGGTTGAAACTCAAGTACTTTGGCCACCTAATGAGAAGGAAGGACTCACTGGAGAAGGGCCTAATGCTGGGAAAGATGGAGGACAAGAGAAGGAGGGGACGACAGAGAAGGAGGTGGCTGGATGGAGTCCCTGAAGCAGCAGGTGTGAACTTAAATGGACTCCAGAAGATGGTAGAGGAGAGGAAGGCCTGGAGAAACATTATCCATGGGGTCGTGATGGGTCGGACACGACTTCACAACTAACAAGAAGAAGAAGCAACAGGCTCACTCATCTGGGCTTACCTTCAGGGAAAATAAGGATGGGCAGTTTACTTTTATCATTAGCATGTTCTGATAGCCTAAAGGAAGACACAGAGAGAAAAAAAGAGATGTCAGCAATGCAGGACCGGATTCTCAGTCGCCTACCCACAATCCAGGAAGAGGTGAGGTGGCTCCCGTCCAAGTCGTGGGCTACGTACCGTCTAGCCACTAGATGGCGATCCTTGACCTCCGAACGTTCAAACCAGACGTGAGGGCAAGCCTTCACCATGGCCCTCTGTATGACGCCCATGAGCCCTCCGTGGATTTGGCCCACCTGAGCAAAGAAGAAGAAGAGGCCAGAGGTCACTTCCCGCAGCAGCAGTGCCAGAACAACACAGCTGGCCTCAAACAACAGGCAGTTTAACTCAGAAAGAAAGTGCCTTTGGCTCCTAAGACCCTCTGTCCTACAGAACGTCTAAGCATTATGGAGCAGGATACGTTGGGGAACTGGGAACGCTCCAGAGGCTGGGCTATCTGCCTTCCCGTTGTCCAAAGATGCAGGCTACTCCAGTGATGGAGGAGAGGAACTGCTCATTTCAAGGGATGTGCTGGTAGGCAACCAGAACAGACTATTGTCAAAGCAGGACTTTCTCCAGCGGACAAGTGGAGAGTTGCTTAGAATCCTCTGCTTGGAAGGTACCTTGGAGAACTCCTAGTCCAACCTACTGTCCATGCCAGGATTCTTTCTACCATCCTGGACAAATGAACGTCTGATCTTTTCTTGAAGACCTCCAACGATGGAGCACCCACAACTCCAGGAGGCAAGCTGTTCCGTTGATTGATTGTCCTCCCTGGTGGGAAATTTCTCCGTAGTTCCAGGTGGGATCTCTCTTTAATGAGTGTCCACCCGTTGCTTCTTGTCCTGCCCCTCAGGAGCTTTGGAGAGTAGAATAGAATAGAATAGAGCTGGAAGGGACCTTGGAGGTCTTCTAGTCCAGCCCCCTGCTCACGCAGGAGAACCTATACCATCTCAGACAAGTGACTGTCTAGTCTCTTCTTAAAAATCTCCAGTGAGAGAGCTTCCAAGGACAAGAGAAGCACAAATGATTCTGGACAAGTTGTTCAGCTACCCCACTTGCTTCAATCATTTGACTTCCATCCAAATGTACGAGTGATATTGCTGAAGAGGTGACCGGCACCTATGGAGGCTATGAGGGGCACTGCCCGTGTCAAGAAAGCCATTGAAATGAATTCAGTTTGACAAGAGCATATAATGGGATTTATTCTGCACCAGTTGGGAATCACACCCACGCACGAAGACTTGCTGTCCTTACCATTGCATAGTAGCCATCGCTGGCCAGAATTATGACGTCAATTGGAGAGGTATGGTTAGCCACACAGATTCCTCCGTTGCGGGGCCTGTTTTCCCTAAGGTTAGGAAGGAAAAAGAGATTACATGAAAACCTGAAGCAAATGCTCAACTGATTCAAGAATAAGGCAGATAGCTTGTGTGCATGAATCCTTCACTCCCCAATCCCCACTCTTAATGGACAAAGAACCTCTAGGCCAGAGTTGGGGAACTATGGCCCTTTTATGACTTGTGGAAGTCAACTCCCAGAATTCTGGGAGCTGAAGTCCACAAATCATAAAAGGGGCCATAGTTCCCCACCTCTGCTCTAGATCTTGCCCCACAGACCAGAACATTATATATTTAAAACACAAACACAGAACCCCCCCAAACTTATCTGAGAACTCCAAAATGCTGTACCAAAAACCTTCATAAGTGGACAGTTGCCTAGATAAATTATACCACAATCTGCATTTCCTTCTCCATGGCTTTTAGCAACCTTTCGTCAATTTTTGCTATTTATGAGGAAAATGTATCCCTCAAGCAACAGAAATCTCATCCAGCCATCCTTCCGTTTTCTGACAAAATAATGGACTTTGTTCACAAACGTTTTATCATCTCAGCGCTATTAGCATTCAGTAACTTTGGCATAAAATGCTGGCTGAGTAATTCTGGGCCAGTCACTCCCTCTCAGCCCACTCCACCTCAGAGAACCGTTGTGATGAGGAAAATAGGAGGAGGAAGGTCTACTACGTGTGTTCACTGCCTTGAGTTGCTTATAGAATACAGATGCGATGAACATCTGGTAAATCAACCAATAAATCAAATACTTGTTAAACGTTTAGAATGTTTACATATCAAATCTCTAGCCAGTTTCACATTTTGCCCATGCTACCTTTCCAGAGAATCATGGCACATAGAAAGTTTTGTTCTCTTTTGGGTCAAATAATTTCACAAATTTTCACCCAGTCCCCACCATACCGGTGATGATAGGTGATGATAGCTGTAAGAGCTCTTATACAGATCCGATAGCACATCAGGTGCACGTGCCTGCTGAGGAATTCCTTGTGCCTAAAGACAAAAAGAACCGTGTCATTCCATCTCAATTTAGAATTCAATGCAACTGCTAACATAATTTATATATAGTTACTTTGCCCTTTCCCAAGCAATGCTTACAAATCTCAAGGAAAAAATAATAAAACCACAACAGTGCACCCAATTTTTAAGTGTCGCCGACTCACAACATTAATTAGGTTAATTAGGAATTCCCCATCACGAAAGGCCACAATTTAGAATAGGTGGTAGGTATAAGAGGGGGCGGCGAGCTGTGGAAAGGCCAAGAGTTTGGGACAGGCATTTCCTTAAGATGGTATCCAATAAATAGTTAAGCCGGCCTTTTGAAATATACCCTGAGATCCGCCAGCCTTTTTGCAGAATGACCTATTACTCCACTCAAATCTTTTTTTTGTGTGTGTGTGTGTGCCCTCAAGTCATTCTTGACTGTGGTGATTGCCTGGGTAAATCCCAGCTATTTCCTTGGCAAGATTTTGGGAGTGGGTTGCCTGCCTCCTTCCTACAGCTAACTGCCTCTCTAACCTGCCCGCTAAGTTTATTTCACAATCCCTCAAGAATCCGAGGACGGCATCCCACAGGAATGGAAAGGAATGCCAGAGAAGGTGGGTCTCACTTCTTTTAACTGTTGGCTCTTCTGCCAAAAGAGTTGGGTAGAGAGAAGGAAAATTAGGTTTATCTCTGCTGTGGAAGGACAATCCAAATCATGGAGAGGACAGCAATTCAACCTATAAGAGGTGACCAACCACTTCACAACCCCAACAACTGATTTCTTTTAGATGTTTGGCTTCCTCCTTTTGGATGGTGAACTTCAGGTAGTCTGCTGCAGAGGACTCACCTTCCGTTGGGTAAGAAGCCCACCATGGTAGTGCCTGTCACCAAAAGGCCAATACCGGTAAAAGCCAGGGCAACCCTACAAGGAAGGTGGGGAGAAGGGGGAGGAAGGGAGAACAAGGTATTAAGGTACAACCTCAGAGCATTCAGATCACGGCAAGACAGCTTCTGTGCTTCTGCTAAACCTTTCGAATTGGGGCTGACCAACAGGAGGATTTTCTACCCTGGGAGAGATGGACAAGTAGTCCTCGACTTATGACCACAATTGGGCCCAACATTTATGTCCCTAAGCAAGGCTTTGGTTAAGTGAGTTTTGCCCCATCTTACCACCCTTCTTGCCACAAGTTGTTAAGTGTACCACTGCAGTTCTTAAGTTACTGACAGGGTTGTTCAACAAACCTGGCTTCCCCATCGACTTTGCTCGTCAGGAGGTCGCAAAACGGGGGTCACGTGACCCTCCCGGGACACTGTGACCGTCATAAATGTGAGCCAGTTGCCAGGTATTTTAATTCTGATCACGTGACCATGGAGATGCTGCAATGGTTGTGTGAAGAACGGTCGTAAGTCACTTTTTTTCAGTGCTAGTGTGACTTTGAACAGTCACTAAATAAACTGTTGTAAGTCGAGGACTGCCTGTAGCACTAGGGTTTCGCTCTAGGGATTGTCCAGGACAGGGATAGGCAACCTTGGCTCTTTTAGGACTGGTGGACTTCAACTCCCAGAATTCCTGAGCCAGCCATGCTGAGGGCAAAGGGAGAGGTTTCCAAGCTGAGCCATGCTGGCTGAGGAATTCTGGGAGTTGAAGTCCACGAGTCATGAAGGGGCCATAGTTTCCCTCATGCTGGCTGAGGAATTCTGGGAGTTGAAGTCCACGAGTCATGAAGGGGCCATAGTTTCCCTCATGCTGGCTCAGGAATTCTGGGAGTTGAAGTCCCCGAGTCCTAAAAGAGCCGAGGTGGCCTACCCCTGCTCTAGGGATGGTCCAGGAGAAACAGTAAGGGGTCCTATCCTCCTCCTGGCTGTCCGGTGAGAAGCCTGAATCCATCCTGGCCTGTACCTGAGTGGCAGCAAGAAGCAGTAGCGGATCAGGAGTCCCGTCCCCCAGAGTACTGTGAGGCGCAGACTGATGTAGTGGAAGTTGTAGTTGGTCCTGCTCAGCAAGTTCCAGGACTCCAGCTCTTCTGCCGAGAAACGCTTGGTCACCTCATCGTCCATAATGCTCTCCACACCTTTGCGGCTGAAGTAAAAGATGTCGGAGAGCTCAAACTCAGGGGCGTCCAGGGTCTTGTTGCTGGAGCTCCTCCGGTTCTGCTTCATCTCCTCTTCCAACGAGGTGGGCTCTTTGGCAATGATCCCTGCAACAGACACGCACCTTCCAGCCAAACAGCAGGAGAAGCAGGGCCCGACATGCCTCCCCCCCTGCACCGCGCTAAGAAAAGGCACCTCTCCCTCTTACCGTTGACACAGGGCTTATAGACAGGGTGGTTCTTCTCTTTGGCGCTCCGCTCAATTCTTAACGTTGCCCACTGTAAGACACAGAGAAAGGAAGGAGTGAGATCCTTCAGACCCGGACGTGAAATCTATTTCTTTCAACCAGGGTGCAGATGGTTCCACGAAGGAGCGACAAGTTTAAGGGCGAGATCGGAGGCGGGCAACTAAGGCAATGCCTGATCAGCAGTTCATCTCACAGCATCAGGTCCAAAAAGGAGAGCGAAGAGGTGCTGATTTCCTGTCCTGCTTCACCAGCTTCCACTACTAGGCTGCTACTGATTCTGAAAAATGCTGGACAGGATTAAGGTCAAATCCAACAGCTTTTGGTCTGTGGGAAGAAACTTGCCAATTGAGCCCTCAGCAATTTGCAGTCAAGATAAATTCAGTCAAATTACAGTGAACAGAGCAGGCAGTGAACTCTGTTAGAGAACTCTGCAGCTTGACAATGTGATCTGCTCAGACACCTTGCTAAATTGTTGTTATTAATTACATTTATAGCCACGGTCCCAAAGACTGCTAAGTTGTAATCTGTTTGATAGCTTCTGTCTTAAATGTGCTGTGTAACACCAGCTCCTATGATTTGTAAACTCTGGATTGTATATTACTAGACAGTGAGAACTTATAGCTTATTCCAGGAAAGGACAGTTTTTTAACAGCTGAGGGATGAACTTGTTTTTTTTTGTTTTTTTTTGAGGTGGCTGGTTGAGCGAGGCTGAATTTTGGAATATTGTTTTATTTTTTTAATTAGTATAGTAATACAGCTGTTTTAGGGCTTATACTTCATTGTTGCAGTAAATATGAGAAAATTGCATCTCTCAAATTTCCTTTTCATTCCCTTTTGTCCTGGATTGCTGAAAATTAATGCCACACTTTGCCAACCACGAATGTAATAAACTATGGCATAACAGGCTGTGTGAAATCAGTGTGGTGGTCATAGACATCCTCTAAGTAGAGGATGAATCATTATAGAGAAGGAATGCCTTTGGCATAGAGTCTCTAGAACAGCTCTTCCTGTCATCTTATCTCTGCCTCTTCTCTCCTCATTCCTTTCTTATCTAGTCCACTGAGTGGGGAAAATTAAGCTGCATTTTATGTTGGGATGAGGAACTCATCCACCATCTGAAACAATTAACTTTGCTTGTGGACAGTGAAAACCTGCTCTTTTAGACTGCTTCCTTGGGCAAAGAGGAAGCTCTGTTTAAACCTGGCCATGGATTTCTTTTCAGCTTTAAAAAAAAGAATAAACAAAACTGGCTGGTTCAGATGACAAGGGTGGTGTTATTGTTGCTTGTTGGTGTCTGCAAGGTTGTTGTTTTTTTGTGCTTGTTTTTGGGTATTCCACTCTAAACATCCTCCTCTTGGCAGTATCTGAATTCCTGACAACACCTTTTGATAAGGACATGGAGTCAGACAGGGAAAACGAGGCCCAAACCCAGATTATAAGAAGCCTCAGGCAGCTTCCACCTAATTAGACAAGACAAGTCTGAAAAATAAATAAATAAAAGAGTGCTGGCTTAGCGTCAAAAGAAGGATTTTTATCATAATTGGAACGCCAGAGAGGAAAAGACAGACTCTATGTTTAAAGTGACCTCCAAGCTGCAGAATAATCCGCAGGACATCCCGCCATGGTAGGTGGCGCTAGAGTTCACTTCTCTGCTGCTAGTTCCTGCCTGTCTACCCTTTGTATCTGGCGTCAAACAGGCTGCCCGCCCACTAGGCCAGGGGTCGGCAACCTTGGCTCTTTTATGACTCGTGGACTTCAACTCCCAGAATTCCTGAGCCAGCCATGCTGAGGGGAAAGGGAGAGGTTTCCAAGCTGAGCCATGCTGGCTCAGGAATTCTGGGAGTTGAAGTCCTCGAGTCATGAAGGGGCCAAAGTTTCCCTCATGCTGGCTCAGGAATTCTGGGAGTTGAAGTCCTCAAGTCATGAAGGGGCCAAAGTTTCCCTCATGCTGGCTCAGGAATTCTGGGAGTTGAAGTCCTCAAGTCATGAAGGGGCCATAGTTTCCCTCATGCTGGCTCAGGAATTCTGGGAGTTGAAGTCCTCAAGTCATGAAGGGGCCAAAGTTTCCCTCATGCTGGCTCAGGAATTCTGGGAGTTGAAGTCCACGTGTCATAAAAGAGCCAAGGTTGCCTACCCCTACACTAGGCTGAAAGAGGAAGGGAAAGTGTCCAGAAGGTGTAGAAGAAGAGACATTTCTACCTGGCTGATTCTGTATATCCTGGGCACGCAGTCCTCTCCCACCCCTTTCCCTTCTTGGTCCCTCTGGGTTGCTCCTGCTTTTCTTTTTGCCAAACTCCTTCATTTCACAACACAACATCCACATGGCCTCCTGAAAGCAATTCCTGGAAACTAACCTATGCTTGCATTATGCAAAGGTCAGGCTCACCCACAGGGGTGCCTTCCCCGTGTCACTTGCCTACTTCCTATCTGACCATCTCAGTTTAACACAGGCTTAAGTAAGAACCTTAGAAGCACGGCTAGGTCTATACCAGGGGTCTTCCAACTTGGCCCTTTTATGACTCGTGGACTTCAACTCCCAGAATTCCTCAGCCAGGCATGCGATTCTGGGAGTTGAAGTCCACAAGTCATAAAAGGGCCAGGTTTGAAGACCCCTGCTCTATACTGTAGTACACACAGCGAGGAATGATGCCTTGAGCTCCTGGAGGAAATACGAAGTAGATACCTAACAAAAAAAGTGCAGAATCCAATTTCTTGACAGACTCTACTTTCAGGTTGAAAAGAAGGAAAAACAAGTTGGGATAGGAAAAAAGAATGCAAGTAACGCTTGAACGGTAGCTAGAGAGATGATTATGAAAGATTTTCAGTCCTAAGTGTAGCATTTTCACCCATGTTCTACAAACTACTGTACATTATGCAAAATATCATGGTTGTGCTGTACAAACTATGCAAAGGGACACATGCTACAAGAAGCTAAGAAGCTTAAAATGGGCATGAAAATGGAGAACTGGGTTCAATTTGTACTTGGTCAAACAATCACAACACGCTGACAAAATCTGAAGTAGGGTGGGCCAGGCTGTGAAAGGGTTGTTGTGCATGGAAATACTGTCCCAGAAATGCTGCTATTCCATATCCTAATGTTCTTAGGATATGGAATAGCATGATGAGTAAGATACTGCTGTCACTAACTTCCTTTGAAAGGAAACTAAAAAAAAAATCTCTAAATGCACTCTGCTGTCCGGGTTTTAATAACGGCATCTTATTTCCCCTTTTTTTCCTGTTTTTATTTTTCCATAGTTTATTACTGTTAATCTGTTAACAGGACCTGCTTTCGACACGATCTATTACACAACACCATGATTTGATTTTAAATGATTTCAAAAACAACACTGGGAAAGCTGAAGTAAGAAATATTTTAAGTTAGACTCGCAACTGTCCCGTGTGTCCCGATTCTGGCTGAAATGAGGATTTTGGAGGAATAAGAAAGAAAAGAGGGTACGTAATTTCCCAGTGACTGGTTCCCTGGGTATAGTTATTTGTGTGGCTGCACCAGCCGAGGCTTTGGTAGAATTAATGAACGGTGGTATAACGGATGTACGGGGTCCCAGGGTGCGCATCAGGTGAGTGCTCAGGGGAGGCAGCCCTCAAGAAAGTGAAAAATGGAAAAAAGAGGGAGGTTCTTTCCTGCAACTGCCTCAAGGTGACCCTCAACATGATGTATAGCTTGCTCCTTTCCCCCCCTCTTCCATCCTTGAAATATGATGAGGGGGGGAGAGAAGGCCCAGCTTAGGCCTGCTCAGCATTAGGAAGGCCCACCGTCTTCCTGTTTGGTCTACCTAAGAGTCGTATTTGAGCTGGAGAAGAGCTGCTGCTGCTGCTGCTGGGCTACTATTCCATTTTGACCCGAAGGCAATTCCTATACAGCGGAAACTTAATTGTTAAGCAACACCCTGCATCTGTTTGCCAGGGACATCTTCATTTGTCCTTACGTCACAGGTCCCAGTGACGGTGGCAACCAATGAGAGCGCTGGACTTGCCTGAAACTCCCCGTTTTCTAATCCGACATACAAGACCGGTGTTGAAAGAGCTCTGATTCATCGTTTGGTGCTGCTGGCGGCCACAACCCAGTCTCAGGTTGCACTATTCCTCCCCAACCCCCAGGAATGCTAAGGAGGTGAACTCACCTGGAAGATCCGTAGAAGAGTTTTCATGTAGAGACGGCGGATGCCAAAGGAGACTCCAAAGATGGCTGGCACGATGATGAAGACCAAAAGCAGAGTGAAGAGGACCGTCAGGGAAATGCCCAGCAGGTTAACTACCAAACTGTCAAAGGGCAGCAGTAGAAACATGATGGTGGTGAGAAGGCAGGCCTGGCCACAATAGGCCAGCGCCCTGCAAATTCCTGAGAGGCAGAAAGAAGCTGCCCTGGGCAGTCAGTCAGTCAGTAAGTCCTTTCCCCTGTCAACCAACAACAGCCTTGAATGTGCAGCAGGTCTCTGGCCTATCACAGGGGCCATTTCAGAGTTCACACCCTTCCTCCAGTGGGCTGCGGGTGGCCAAGACCCCCCATGATCTACTCTGGAAAGAGGCCACAGCCCAAACTGAAACTGGGAAGACTGGCCAGGGGTGAGATGGTTACACAACAGGCCCCTGCACAAGACACTGGAAGGGCAGGGAGAACCGTGCCCAGAAACAGCTCTCCAAATGCTGGAAAGGCAAGTCGTGTTGGAGTTTTCCGAAGTGCAAAACGTCTCTTTGCGAGAATGAGGTGTGCTCTTTCTCTTGTTCTGCATTGGAGGGAAAACTGGCACCTTGCAAAACTACAGCCCTTGCCCCCAGGGCACAAGAGCCAGCTCTGGTTCTCTCCTGAAACGTGTGGCAAAAATCCGACGGAGGCCGCTAGATCCCATCCAGCGCAGGAAGCTGTAAGATGTTCTCTTGTCCATGGAAGATGTTCTTAAAAGTACGGCATTCCCAGATCCAATTCACTACATGAGGAAAGAGAAAGAAAAAAAACACAACTCTGTGAGACCACCTAACCACTTCTACAAGAACAGGTGGTGGCAGCAATTTCTCACTCAAAAGGCAGGTCATAAGCTTAGTAAGGTCTGCTTATAACTGAAGACTCCTTTAGGTCAAGGACCCACAAATAGTGTTCCTAGCTTAAATACTCGCTAGTATTTATGTTAATCATCTGTGGTCCTACCTATTTGACAGAAGGAAACTGATTTGTCAAAGTGATCAAACAAGTGACTAATTATAAGCCTGGCACGCTGTCACGGAAATAATGGAATCCTAACCGGTACAAAAAGTGTTGGGCACATAGAACCCCCTTCTTCAACCTGGCACCCTCCTAACGTTTGGGGACTGCAACCCCCAATGGCTGGGAGACGTGGAGTTTACACTTCTAGAGAGCAGCAGCTTCAGAAGACTGATATAGCACTATTTTTCAAGACAACATTTCTACAACTTTATACTGCTTTCTAGCACCACGTTATTAACAAGGCGGTGTCCATTCTTTAGATACTATAAAATCTTTTTTTAAAAAATCACTAGACAAACTGTATGGACGTGAGTGGAACACTTTCCCTCAAGCATTAAAAAGCCCCATTTTCTAGATGAATCTGACACATTAAAATCTTTTCCTGGTGGTCTCAGAAGAGGTCTGTGGATCAGACTATGGAGGGAGCAATCCTGAGAAAAGAGGTAGCTAAAGGATCTCTGTTTTAAGCACTAGCAGTACATGCCACTGAATCACAGATGCCATAAATCAGAGCCGTGATTCACTTTTTTTTCTTTCAAGACTGTCCTGAGGAAGTACACTAATGAACAGGACAGATGTACGTGGAATAGCTAAATAAAACAAAAAACAAAAAGTGCACCTCATCCACACATGCTGAATCTGAGCCCAAATGAACAGATCAGGAAATTTCCCTTTAAAACATTTCCAGACATTACTGAACGTCATTAAAAGTACAGTCCAATCCATGAAAATGAGTCCAATTTATAGAAAACTCTGCATTTTACTCACAGTAGACATTAAGCAAATAGAAATTACGCGGGAATGGAATAAACAGCTGGAGCTGCCATCCAAGGATTCCCTTACAGGTAAAGAGGCAGAAGCAAAAAATCTCTGGAGAGCAACTCACCTCCAGCCAGCCTCCAGCGAGATCTTAACTGCAATAGCTTATAGCCTTGCATCACAGCGGGAGAGGAATAGTAATCAGATGTTTGCAACCACGTGTATTCCCTACACAATGTTCCAAGAGATTCCAGAGTTCAGGCTCAGAATGAGGAGCGTGTTTTTTTCCATATACAAATACATCAGAATCGTGACAACTGACTGCCTGACCGTCCTCAACTAACCCAAGAGTTGGCAGTAAGGGACAGCATACCTGTTTCCCCACTGGACTAACAGATCAGACACGTGCACCTGATACAAGCAAGAGCAAAGATCTAGATTAATGTTAATCGTACAGTCCCAAGGGCAGAAGTAAAAGATATTTTTTAATCCAATGCTCTCAGAGGACAGGTTTGGATGCAATTCCCAACATCTGCAGCCAACTCGTAGTTCAGATGGTCTGGAGGATACCTGACTGGTAAAGGTTCATGGAAAGAGATTTTCACATCACAGCCATCAGGGAAAGCCAATTCTTAAATGACAAGTTTATTATTTGGCTGTGAGATCACTGACTGCCCATTCAATTCCAGCGAGGGAGAGTATATTCTATTTGTCTTAATATTGTATCAATATATTCGCTGGGAAAGGTAGATAAAAAAGGAAATAAATTTCCACAATTAAGATGTGGATTCAACTGCTCTAAGCCAATGTTTCTCAACTTCAGCCAATTTTAACTCCCAAAATTTACATGAATGTTCTTCAAACTTGGCAACTTTTTAAGATGTGTGGACTTCAACTCCCAGAATCCCTTAGCCAGATGTTCTGGGAGTTGAAGTCCACACATCTTCAAGTTACCAAGTTTGAAAAACACTGATTTGCACTAAATGGTATATAGACTAATTGATGCTAAAATACCTTCCCTAAATATTGGATTTGTTTGCTTTCTCCTCTTCTCTGCTCTGGTAACTTCTCAACTGTTCAAGAGAACCAGGCTCTTTTGCACTGTTTGGGTTAGTCCTAATATATAGATTGCTTTACTGCATTTTGGATTATTTTCCTCTTCATGAACCAACATAGCTATCATTCTTTAATATGTGCTTCTTGACATCTAAGTTCGCTGGATAATGAAGTTAATGATATTTTTTTTAAAAAACCAGTGTCTAAGGAAAATGTTCAACTTAGTTCAAGTGGGGATTTACTGATGTCCATACGTTAACAACTGCAGCCTGAAAAAAAACCAAACATTCTGTTTTCACACATTTTCAGATCCAGTTTGGGGAATATATTTCCTGCTGTAGTTTCCAGTTGCACTTTAGATTCAAACTGCTTCACTGATCAGAGGAATTTGGCAAACGGTCACTTCTAGGACATATCAAGGCCCACATTTTAAAGTCCAAAATTCATTACTCCACAAAAGGTAAACGTTACTTGTTATTTCTCAATTAGGTGTCTTCAGCAATACTGAAGTAACATCCCAATAGGCACATGAGTGAGAGTGAGAGAGAGAGAGAGAAGACAACAATATGTTATTCTTACATCTTTAAGAAAGGCAGCTTCTAAATAGCTAGCCATTACATCAGTGGTTCTCAACCTTTTTAATGCCGCGATCCCAACCGGTCGTAAGTTGAGAACTAAACCGGTCATAAGTCGAGGACTAAACCGGTCGTAAGTCGAGGACTACCCGACCGGTCGTAAGTTGAGGACTTTCCCTGCCCGGGAGCGCCGCACATGCGTGGTTCCGCCCCCTGCGCCGGCCGAGGCGTAGCTGGCAAGCGGCAGAGACGGAGCAGGCCGACCACCAGCTGGCCCAGCCCAAGGGAGGTAAGGCACCCGCCGGAAAAGGGGAAAAAAATGGCGGACAGCCTTGCTTGGCGACCCCCGTGAAATGGTCGATCGA